GAGAGGGACACTTGGCTTTAATTTACAAACAAATTAGAAAAATAAACAGACAGCATTGCTATTGTAAATGGAAAAGACTTGGGCAAATTTAATCCAACTTCCCTGAGAATACTTGATTAATCTCAGACCAGGGAGGAAAATCAAGATTAGATAGGAAGTCTCCATCTGTACTAAAGCAGAGGAACTTGGGGCCTCCAGTGTCCACAAAGGGCATCACATGACCTCTCCCCGGGGAATCTCGTTCTCCGAGTTCCTTGCTTCTCTCTTGGCTCTGCCTCAGGTTCATGAAATATCTGCCCCAGCTACCAGCCTTTATGGCCTGGAATAGAGTTGGAGGTGCACCCCCACCACAGCCCAAGAAAAGCGACATGCAAGAGCCCCAAATTTAAGATGTAGCTCACCCTTTGACCACTAGAGGTCTCCTGGAAAGCAATGACCCGTATAACCCGGTTTATCCTTCTTCGAACCAATAGACTTGTTGCACTAAGACTTGGCGAGCCTGCTCTGCTGGAGGCCGCCTTATTAATAAGCCACCCACCCCCACCGCTCGCGGTGGCGCCAGGCTTGGAAAGGGGGAGGGACCAAGCAGTGACTGATCCTCAGACAGTGCCGGCTTTTCAACCCATGGATCAGTCTGTAGACTCCGAGGCTACTCTCTCCAACCTCACTTCTTGACTAGGCAAAACAAGACAGAGGCCCCAACTCCAGGTCCCTGGACAGGGTTGGGGGGCGGAGTCTCGCGGACTTCTACCCAGCTATGGGCGGGCCAAGGGGCATGTGTACCGACCCACCTAGCATCAGGTCCACCAACAAGCCAGGATCTACCTCCCCTGGCTTTGGCCCCCTCATTCCCCCGACCCCTTCGCCCCCCCCCCCAGCCCCTGCTCCCCAGGTCTCCAGAGTGGCTGAGTTTAACCAGTGGAAGGAGATTCGGAAACGTTCACCTTCACTATTTTCATCCAGACTGTATTTTCTAGAAAAATTAGCGGCTTCTAGCTGAAAGAGGAAAGAAGAAAAAAAAAAGAAAGAAAAAGCGGGGGCGGGGTGCGTAGTGGCGGGGGTGGGGGGTAGGGGGGGCGGGGAGTATGAAAGAAAACGGCCAGGTTGAATCCCCAGTCTTTATCAAGCAATTCGCTCACCAGTGAAAGAAAGCTGCAGTGGCAGATTCGAGCCACATGCGGTAGTGTGTAGCAATTAGTAGATAAAATGCTGACTAAAGTGCTAAAACATGAAGTATTATTGTAGCCAAGGTCAAAAATGCTTCAATTGTCTTTTGCAATTTGTGGGAGGAGGAGGCCCAGAGGTGCACAAGGAGGCTTGAATTTTTGAAATGGTCGCTCCATTCTTCAAACTGTACTTTTTTTTTTTAATAATCCTGTTTATTATAGACCAAGCTGCCTAATTATGTTACTGCTGGTTTTTGCAACTAACTTAATCCTCCTGATCCTTTATGAAACCATTCACAGACACTGAATAATGTGGTTATGCGCTCCCACCCCTTTGAGGGGTGAGAATGATTTTTAATATTTTTGCTGTTTTTTAAATAAACCAGATAACTTAAAACAGAGTTAGACTTCTGGAGACCAGTGCAGTAGGAATATAGGGTCCTGTGTTTCAGTATAAGAAAGAACTCAGAAATAGTGGGTCATAAAGACATGGACTGCTTTCCCCCCTACTCCTCTTTGATACACAGGGAGTCCCAGTTACAAGCATTTTTTATAGACAAATAAAGAAAGTTGCTTTCATGATTATAACTGTCCTGAATGGATTGTCTTCGTACAACATTCAATCTGTTTATGAGTATTTACTTTACATTAGCCCAGGGACCCTGCACTGCAGGAGTTTGCCTCTATTCCCCTGGGTGTCAGTGTCTCAAGTCTTACATCTGCTCTGTGATTGATGGAGCCTTGAATCCACGTTATTACTCTCTCACAAGCAGAAATCAAACAGGCTATTAACTACATTACTTCAAAGAACTGTTTCAATACAATCTCCTTATCTTAATTGAAACTTTCTTTGTATGGATATTTGCTGCACAGATAATTTACAGGTGCTTATCAAGCATCATTTTTAAGAGGTAAAATAGATGGTGTTTTTTGTTTATTTGGGGGGGTTGTTTTTTTTTTGTAAACACACACCATTGTGACCTATAATTTCAAAAGCTAATCATCGGATTGGACAGAGATTTGACTTATTAAATTTTATTATGTTTATGGGGGTGGTGCTGCTGCTGTTGTAAAAAGAGGGAAGATACCCCTATGATTCAGTTTTGAAATTTAGCATTCATCTGATTACAAGACTGCAGATTTTCAAAAATATTCCGACCTAGATCCCTGCAATTGTTAGCAACTCAAAAACCTTATCGGGAGTGGAGTTTACGAGAAGAGAGATTACGCATACAGCATAGTTCAGAGCCAACCTTGAAGAGACCTAGAGACAGGTTTCTAATTAGATGAAATCCTTTAAAGTCTTACAGCACCAAAAGCAGGACAGGTTGCTTAGATGCTGTTAAGAGTCGTGTATTTTTAAGAGAGATTTAATATACAATCGAGGGATACCCTCAGGCATTCTGTTGAGGTTTCCTGCATAAATGTTGCTGCATTGGTCATACAGGAAACTGACTCAGAGTCGATCTCAAATATGATCTTGTCAAAATACTGCAACTAAAGTTTTTTAATATAAGATTTCTTGAACTGGATGTTTATATAGATCTACACTAACAGGACAGAGACTAACTGAAGTCTTAGGCACCTCTCAAGTGTTTTTTGTTTTCTTTTTTTTTTAATATGTAAAATGCCCTTCAGTCAAGTCCATTCATATGTAAAAAATGAACAAAATAGGTATTCTAATCAAACGTCTGCAGTATTCATCATAAAGTTAAAAAGAGAGAGAAAGCGAGAGAGCTGTAATTTCTCTTTGTAACCCATGTTTATAAAATAGAAAGATCAGATGAAATTTCAAGGAAGATAATTAAAGAGTGATGTGCAAGTCATAATTTGGCTAATGCAAAAGATGGGAGGCAGCGAATTGTTACATTGTCCTCCTTCATGGTGCAGAGTTGTGCTATTACTTTAAATTATTAAAATAGTTTTCGACATCTTTCAGAGTACCGGCTCTTTGGCATGGGCTTTTATTACTTATTGTAATTGGAGGATCTGCCATTTTCTTTCGTTTATCTCTGTGTGTATAGAAACGAGATAGATCTTGCCTTTTATTACTTCCCCATGTTCTGAATCAAAAATGTGGTTTAGATAATGTTAAGTGCCCTAATTCTTAGTACAGCGGACGCAGACGTTATGAAAAGGCATAAAAATACACACAGAGGGTCTTTCCACCTCAAGTCACTGAATATGAAGCATTTGTGCTCTGCCGGGTGTATTAACTTCAGCCATGTGAATATAATTTTCATTAAAGTAATCCTGTTTCAACTAGATGCTGTGACTAGAGGTGAAACGTTGCGAAAGCGTTAAAAATAGCTTACTAGTAATTTCAACATCCTGTAATTTTATCACAGATCAAGTTTCAACTGTCATACTATACAGACCTTATTCCCCATATAGTACATGTTTACTTTTTTAGCCTGCCAGACCCACTTTGGAAAGATTGTTACCAATATAATAAAATCGGGTGTGTGTGTGTGTGTGTGTGTGTGTGTGTGGAGGGGGGTGCTGGAAGGAGTGGGAGGAGAGCGGGGAAGGGGGTGGGGGAGCGTGGGGGAAGCGAGTACACCATTTTACATCAACACTGCGAAAATGCAATCTAGCCTGGCGGAGGACCGGCAGCTGGGTCGGAGCGAGCGAGGGCTTTGCAGTCTCTGCCTGTTCCTTGTTCTGTCGCTCTTAAGTTTCTCTGTGTTTGCATAATAGCCGTGCATGCAAACCTCGCAATGCTCCAGGGCTCCAGAACAATAAATATACACATTTAAAGCCTTTATTGTCTTACGGTTCATGCCCCCGGTTTTCAACAGCTTAATTTCTGGTTGTATTTAACTAGTTTGCAAATGGATTTTTTTCAGTTTCAAACTATTATTGAGGAAGCTCCCCTCCCTTTTTTGGCGGGGGAGGGGATGGGGGTGGGGTAGAAGTCGGTATATTATTCCTGTAGCGCTGGGTTATATAAACACATTATCATTTGAGAGCGCCCTTGGCGTCCATCAGCATTGTAAACACGTACTAGTGTATATACTTCAAAATTAAAGAATGCACACGCAGAACCCGGAGCCTGAATTCATATTCCAAGCAGACTCGCAGCTCGCATTTATTGATTTATCATGCATCGTTTATTGTTCCAGTCCCTAAATGCAGTCGCTGTCCGTTCAATATTGTTTGCAAAATCCCGAGATGTGTGTTGCACTGCTCACTTGTCTTTCTGTTCTTTTTCTTTTTTTTTTTTTTGCTGAGTATTTTTTTTTGCGAAGCGAACAAATGCATTAATATTTATATGTTTATATAATCGATAACCCACTTTTCCCTTCCATGTAAATAGGCATCAAAAGATAATTTAACAGATTAGTTCTCGAAAACATGGCAGTGAGGAAGCGTAATTTAACTATCAAACAAATCTACATGTCTAATAACAGCAAATCTGCTAAGGAGCATTAGAAAGAGGAGCAGCGCCCCGGAATCTCTGCAGGAAATGTTCTTTATATTAGACATATACAAGCAGGTCCTGTCAGATACACAGCGGAGCTCGCTAGCTCTCTCCTTCTCCAAAAATTTCATCAGACAACACCCCTAGACACAGGAGGTTGGGAAGAGGGAAAGCTCATCTTCCCACAGTTTTAGGGTGGATTTTATTTTTACAAACCTTCCTGTACGTTTTTTGCCTTGATCCAACCTCTTCCCGCCGATATCGGACGGAGTCTTTCTCCCGATTATGAATTTGATCAACCCACATTTGGAAGGAAACCTACACAGTTTTGACAGGAGCTGAAAATTGAGTCGTCAGAGAAATATTAGGACATATTTTCAATCATTTTTGTGCTGAAGGGGAAGCAAGAGCTCAGTTTTATATTGAGACATTACGCCGGCTGAGGACATACAATGCATTCCCCTTCCAGGACCTGATGCAATCCATTCAAGCCAACAAGTTTGGAGAGAATGTTGAGTTCAATCAATTCAGAACGTCGAGATGGAGCCCAACTCACTCCAGGTATTTCGCTCTCCTCCGCTCCTCTGTTCCCAGCACCCCTGGCACCCCCCAACCCCCCTGCTCACCCACACCTCTGCACCCACCCACACCCCCCACAAACTTTTCGCCAAACTTTTACCCTCTGCATCCCCCTAAATCATTTTTATTGTTTAAAAAAAATTCCCGCACTGATCATACATACATAATGTAATTTTACCGCCTCAGATGGAGAGGTAGGGAGAGGTGGCTGTGGGGGGGCTGGGGGGGGGGAGGAGTTTTTTTTTTTTTTTTTTAAGGAAGGCAGAAAATTTGTGGGCTCTATTATTTTTTCCATCCAGCGTTATATCTGTTGGTTCTTCTGTATTAAGAGTGTGGATGTCTATGTGTAAATGTATTTGGGAATAGATATTTGTGCTCTAATGGCTACATTATTTATTTGGTGCTTTTTTCCCCCTGCAGTGGGTCGGCTCACCGTGTGGCTTGCACGGACCTTACATTTTCTACAAGGCTTTTCAATTCCACCTTGAAGGCAAACCAAGAATTTTGTCCCTTGGCGACTTTTTCTTTGTAAGATGTACGCCAAAGGATCCGATTTGCATAGCGGAGCTCCAGCTGTTGTGGGAAGAGAGGACCAGCCGGCAACTTTTATCCAGCTCTAAACTTTATTTCCTCCCAGAAGACACTCCCCAAGGCAGAAATAGCGACCATGGCGAGGTGGTAAACTTGTATCTCCCTCTCTTCTTTCTTTATTATCCCCCCCTCCCCTAGTAATGCTTATTACAGGGCAAGCTTGAAAATACTGTATTCACTTCTGCAGGCGAGCAAGGATCGACTCCTTTTTTAAAGGGGTAGCGCCACTAGCTGGGGCTCGAGTATTTTGCCATTGTCAGAGTTTGGCTGTCAGCTTTACAAAGAAGATCCAACTGCTGATTTTAGTCAAGATCAAATAACTTGTTCGAGAAGGGTTTTGTTCAAGGGTGTGTGTGTGTGTGTGTGTGTGATCGTTGGCTCTCATGCTAACTGCCTTTTGAACATCACATGCTTTTTATATTTTTTTGCCTTTTGAAAATTTACCTTCGCGTCTGGCTCGGTCCGGGCTGGGTGGATTTCTTTCGGTGGGTTTCGATATTGTTCACATTTTTTTTTTTTTGGGTTAAAGTAAGTATTTGATATGTTTAAGAGGGCGGAAATTACGAAATGGAGGCAGAGTGAGATCAAAAGCTATTGAGTTGGCAAAGACGTGTTGAATAAAGTGATAAATGACAGGTACTGGAATAATACATTCAAATAACTTGCAGATCTGCCCGGGCGGATTTCAAAGCGGTCGTGTAACCGGCACAAACACGTTAAGCATTAACAACTATCTCTCGCCCCCACCCCACCCCCCTGCACAAGCCATTTGATGTTCTAGTTTTCAATTACTCCACGCAAAGTGGACGTCTTCCAGCGCGATCTTGGGGGGAGGGGGGTGCGGGACCGGGGCGGGGGCCGCGCAGGGCCCGGGGTGGGGGGGGGGTGTGCTCGCCCCCCTGGCCCTGCGGGTCCGGCGTCTCCCGAGCCCAGACGGCGCTCCCGGGGAGGGTGTGGAGGACCGAGCCTCCGCCGCACGTTTCTGGGCGTCCGCGGGGGCGCTCGCCGCGCTCCCCGGAGGACGCCCGAGGTGAGCTGCTGTCACCGGGCGCCGGGCGGCATCCTCCTTCGGCTCTGTCATTTCATGTGTGACCGCAGTTCTGCGGGCTCCCTTCGTCAGCTGACCGGCCTCAGCGCTGGGGTACCTACGGGGGGAACTATTTTGGGGAGACTGTGCCCATGGTGCAGGGGGCGGGAGGGCGCCCAGTCGCCTGGCAAGGCTTTGTGTTGCCCAAGCAGGAGCAGGGTAATCAAACAGACTTTTGAGAGCGGCTAGCTCGGTGCCAGACTCTCGAGCTTTCGAGGTAGGGGTAAGGATCTTTTTGTTAAATGAATGGGTCCCTCTTTAACTCATCCCACGGCCCAGAGATGCCTGCCAGTCTTTCCAGAATTCCGTGGTTTGATGGAGTTGATTGTACTTTGGGCATAGCCCGTCCACTCCCTCTCGCCAGGATCGAATTACCATCCGTAGTCCGTGCCGGTTAATTACTGGAGTTCGTCAAAACGTTCGCCCTCAAATCTGCCTCTTTGGAAATAAGCCCCTCCTTCCTGCCTTTCGCCTCCCTCCCTCCCCCCAGCCCCCGCCCTCTTGGGCAAGCTTTGGGTTTTTTAAACGTTCATATTTCTCCGCGTCTGCCTGCAATTTTACAAAGGTGTTGTTTGGCATTCTGTGAAAAATCCTGCAACATACCAACAGGTTGAGCTCTTTCCCCCTCCCAAGGTCTAGTTCTGCCCCCTCCTCCGACCCAACTTTCCTGCGCAGCTGTCTCCCCCCTCCCCCTCCTGATTTCTTATTATTTGCTTTTCAAATTTATTACTTCAACATGGCCTGTGATCTGGAAAAGGGAAGGATTAAATATCCAGAAAAGAGCTGGTGCCTAATAGACTTCTGACTAAACCCAGAAGGAAATTATTCAGTGTTTTAAAGGATATTTTGTGGTCACTTTTTTTGGGGGGGGAATTGAAATTGGAATATTTTTAAAAGACCCCTAGTTGACCTCCTTGTTCCAGTTTAAATTTCTGACGGTGTAATTAAATAGTAAATTATGATTTAAAGAATAAAAGCTTTATTAGCTGAAGGTTTCATCTGCTAGAACTGCTGATAGTGAATAGATATATTTTTAAGTATATGATTAAGAAAAAAATGCTCTTTATGAGGCATTGAAAGCCAACCATTGTAATGATCTGTGCATTTCGTCACTGCTATATGAGCCATACCTGAGAAAATTAATCTTGCCATTTAAAAGTAAACTCTGGGGGCTTTGGGGAGGGAGATAGCTCTATTTATAATCCTCAGCTGCATATACATCGTCTAATATTATGCATGATTTGTTTTTTAATGCTAACACGGCTGGTAATTAGCTGTATGATTATACTTGTATATTTCATTAGGACTTGGCTGATGTCATTGTGAATTATTCAGCCATATTAAAACAATTTTCAATTGAGATAATGACACGCCTCAAAATTATGCAAATGCAGGCTGCATTGTGCAAAATAATTATGACAAATGTAAAGCAGGTAGAAAGTTTCCCAATGCAGATCGGTTTTCCACCCTGGTGATGTCATTTCCCCCCTGGCCTAAGTTAGTCATTCATTAGCAGAATAACAGCAGCAGTCTCCTCTGAGGAGAGCTTACAGAAACCAGCATTTACTGCTGGCACCCAGAGGGGGCAACAGGGCCCTCTCATTAAGAAATTTGCTTTGTTTTCACTTACTCCATTAACTTGTTTATATACAGTGAAATGATTTTTATTATTGATTTTAAATAGTTTTGAATGATGCATTTGCCATTTGCAATGTGTAGCTGAAAGAGAAAGGTTTCTTAGTGATGTGCACTGTTACTTGGAGAAAATGTTCAGCACATTTAATCAGCCAGTACAGTTTATTTTAAGTAACCAAATGGAGGTTAATAATTTCCTGATTGAGCTGACATCAGCATCCATTTCAAAAGGACAGCCAGGACTCAGTATGCTTTTTTGGTTTAAGAGAACCGTTCTGTCTTTTTATGATTTCTTGAAATGTAAAGACGTCAGTTCTAAAAGCAGAATTGTCATTGTGTGAGATTAGAAATAGCGTCCCTGTGTGGTTTGCTATGATCTGCAGAGGACTTTTTGGGGGAATATTTTCTTATTGATCCTTGCACTAATCATCCGAAGCTGAATAAGGCAGGACTTTGTGTGCCTACTTTACAGATGGAGACAGAGCCTTAGAGGTTATGTGGTTTGTCAAAGGTCACCAGCCAGAACCTAGGCCTTCTTATGCTTTAAGGTTGTTTTATTTTTCCACTGAAATTTACCTTTGAAACTAGAGCTTGAATACATCATGGTATGTTCTAGAGGTGTATTTCACTGTGGGCAGTTCTACATTTTAGAACTATGGCTAGTCAGTCAACTTTGCCAAAAGTCAACAGATATTTAGGTAGCAGAACCATTCTCATGAAGTTCAGCTAATTTGGCTAGTGATATAGAGCAGTAATAGTCACATTTTAAAACCATTATTTGTCATCGTTAACAATTTATGATTAGTTTTAATAATTATCATAATGACTTGCATACTAATAAACACTTCTGCTTTCACAACTGGTATGAAGGAAAATATTCCATGAAGAGTCACCTCTTGATTCTATAACTTACCATTTGTTTGAACTTGGACAGTCATATACACTCCAAGCCTCAATTTCTTCAGCAGCAAAATGGGAACATAAGATTGACCAGATTGTTGTATCAAGAGAAATAATATGGGCAAAAGTACTTTATAAACTGTAAAGGCCTCAAATAGAAATGAATTATGATTCTGGTAACCTTTATTCTAGATATCCTTAATTTGTAGACAGTAGACATAATAACTTTTGTATCTGTGTGGAGGTTCCTGGACCTAATCATGATGCTGTCTTAAATTACCATGAAAGTGCATAGCAGGGCCATATGCAAGGAGTTAAGTGTCTTCAGTAATTACCCACAATTGCCACATTCAGCCAGTAACTCTTCAGAGGAGGAAAATGGCAAAGTAGGCGGGTAATTGGTTCTGTTACTGGGTAACTTCTGATTACATTCATTTTCAAATTGCCAAGTGCTTAATCTATTGGCAATATACCCTCTTAACAGAGGTGGATGTGCAAGCTCTGATTTTAGCCTGACCATGGGCTGCATTCTATGAAAGATTTGTTGGTCACCTTTAATTGTGACTGGGGATGAAGAAGTTCATGATATCAGGGACTCTGTCTCAAGCACTACTGGACATTGCTGCTTCCAGCATGTAGCCAGCATTTCCAAAAGTAGTTTGATGCAGCAGCCTCACTCTCCATGTTAAGAGTGCATTATCAGGAACTGTTCCCCTGCCCCCCCCCCAATAAAATTGACTCAACTATAATCTCTGGAGTTGGGGTCTGGGATTCTGTATCTTAAAGTTTTACTGCTGCTGTGTGATCTAGGGCAAATTGTAAACTCTGTACCTCAGTTTTCTCATCTGTAAAATGGGAATATAGTATGTTCTTCCTAGACTGATTTTGAGGACCAAATAAGTTAATGCATGTAAGGTGCTTATAACTGAGGTCGGTACATAGTAGATTCTTTAATAATGGTTGCTTAATAATGGTTATGATCATTAATACTTATATTATTATTCTCTTTAAAGTTTGAGACCACATGATAGACCTTCTTTAAACAAAAAACTGCTTCTCTATGAAAGAGTGGCACTTAGGTTAGTATACAAGAACACATAGCCAATCCAAGTACCCCCAAATCCAGCTGGCTTTCATTCATCTGTTGGGTTTAGCTGTGTGGCTAAAATGGAAGGCTCTATAAGTGTTTACATTTTACCTTGAAGTATACTGTCAACTGGATCATCAGGATTTTTTACAAGCTTGCCTGATCTTATCACAACTGGGGTTAGGCAGACATGTTCTGAAATCTAGGAGGTATTGGATCAGTCTTGTTCTTCTCTGTGGATGGCTACACAGTTGCTGATTTGTGTCCATGACCTGACTTTTTAGAAATTTCTGAGACTACTTAGTGACCTCCCTAGCCTTGGATAATTTCTTGAACTTTTTGAGCCTCAGTTTCTTCATCTGTAAAATGGTCTTA